ACAGTCTATAGCTCCTAAGCTAAGGGTAGGAGCTTGTGAACCCCTTCCCCCATCCATGTTAGAATGCTGACTGGCTTGATCTTGTGGCAGGCAACCACAGCTGCTGTGAGTTCATGAATGTAGTAATGTCCCACATGCCCAGAGGACACTGTTTTGTTTTGATCCTTCCCAACCTCTGGCTCTTACAATATTTCTACCCTCTCTTCTGCAATGTTCCCTGAGCCCTGGGGCATTGGGGGGGGGGGGATATAGATATCCCCCTTGTGGCTGAGCTCTGCATTGACACTTACTCTCTGTACTTTGACCACTTGTGAGTTTCTGCATCAACCACTGTCCATTGCACAAACTGTCTGATGAGGTCTGAGAGCTGAACTAATACATGGGTAGAGAGATATGAATTTAGAAAGCAATGTGATACTGTGTCCATTTAGTAGAATCGAAGTAGTAGGTTCAACTCCTCAGGCCTGTGAGCTCTCCAACCATGGTTTCTTGGCCATAAATACCAGACATGTAAGAGGACCATAAATCCGATCAGAAAGTAGTTGATTACTCCTATAACAGTTTTGCCACTATTGCACACATGGGCATATCTTGCCAGGCCAGTAATGATTGTAGTTCACAGGATCCACAGTTGGGTAAGACTGTTGTTAGTGTCTTTTCCCCCAGCCACCTTCAGAAACTATATAAGGAAGTTTCTTGGTCAGTATCAACTTGATTTCTCCATGTCTTGGGACCAATGTGTGTGGTGTCTTCAGCAATAGGAGCATATGGTCAAGTTCTGGTGGGCAACCAAGAGCAATGGCAATAGCCTGTATTGTTTGGGGGGGGGTCTCTGAGACACCTACCAACAACTGTAGGGGAGGTATCCCATACCTAGAACTGAGCGTTTGAGTTTGATTTCTATTGGTGTGATTAACACCACACCAAAAACAGCTTGGGGAGGAAAGGGTTTATTTGACTTTCAGCGCACAGTCTGTCATACAGGGAAGCCAAGGCAAGGAGCTGAAGCAGAGACCATGGAGGGGCTGCTTACTAACTTGCTTCCCTGACTTGCTCAGCTACCTCTGGTCTTTTTGAGACCGGAGCTCAATATGTAGACCAGGCTGGCCTCGAACTCAACAGAGATCCACCCGCCTCTACCTCCCAAATGCTGGGATTAAAGGCATGTGCCACCATGCCTTTATGAAACCTAGAGCCACAGGACTAAGGAAAGTACTGCCCACAGTGAGCTGGGTCCTCCCACATCAACCAGCAATTAAGAAAATGCCTCACAGACATGGCCAGTCTGATGCGAGAAGTTCCTCAACTGAGGTTCCTTCTTACCTGTTGACTCAAGTTTGTGTCAAGTTGACAAAACTAATGAGCACAGCAACCTAAGTCTTCTGGGAAGAGCATTTTCATAACTCTTTGTGTGTATGAATGTTTTGCCTGCATGTATATAAATGTGTACCCATGCATGCAATGACTGAGGAAGCCAGAGAAAAGTATCAGATTGCCTGAAACTGGAGTTATGGATGGTGGTTGTTAGCTGCCATGTGGGTGCTGGGAATTAACCCAGGCCCTGTATGAGAGGAACCAGTGCTCTTAACCTCTGAACCATCTCTCCAGCCCCCGTTTTCATAACTCTTACAAATACTTTTCTAACTTTTATTAAACCAAACTTTCCAATAGTAACTTTTTTAAATTTGGTCTTTTTGAAATGGTCTCCCTGTAGCCCCAGCTGGCCTGGAACCCGCTATTTAGACCAGGCTAGCCTTGAACTCCCAGAGATCTGCCTGTGTCTGCCTCCCAAGTGCTGGGATTAAAGGTGTTTACCACCATGCACACCCAGCCAATAGTAACTTTTTTCATAGTTTATTTTTATTTTATTTGTATGAGAATTTTGACTGCTTGTATGTTTGTGTACCACATGCATGCAGTGCCCATGGAGGCCATAAAAGGGTACTAGATCCCCTGGAAGTAGAGTTAGAGACTGCTGTGAGTCACTATATGGGTGCTGGGAATTGAACCCACTGGAAGAGCAGTCGGCACTCCTAACCACTGAGCCATCTCTCCAGCCCCTGAGTATTTCTCGTTTTCTTGAGGTCTTGCTTTTTCAGTTCCATCCCAATTGTCTTTTCAAGAAAGGTCTCTTGGTGGAAATATTTTTCAGAACTTGTAGATAGTCAAAAGAGGTGGTTCTTTTCACTTCTTTTCTTTTTTTCTTTTTTTCTTTTTTTTTTTTTTTTTTTTTTTTTTTGTCCTTTTGAGACAGGGTCTCCCTGTAGCCCCAACTGCCCTGGAACTCACTATGTTGACCAGGCTGGCCTTGAACTCACAGAGATCTGCCTGCCTCTGCCTCCCAAGTGCTGGGGTTAAAGGCATGCACCACCATGCCCAGCTTCTTTTCACTTCTTGATGAAGTATATTTTAGCAAGGTATGAAAGTTGAAATACAGGGTTAGCTACCCCAACCCACCTGATAACTTGAGTAAGACAGAAGTTCAGTTCCTTTTCACACAGTCTAAACAGGGCTATGTACAGGACTAAAAGGCAGCTCCATGGTTTATGGGGCCCTAGGTCTGTCTTTCTTTTGGCTGTCATAAATGTTTAACTTCTATGCTGTGGTCTAGGAAAGCTGGCCTAGCCTCCCACTCAAAGTTCACCTTCAAGTCCATATCCAGCAAGTGGAAGGAAAAGAATGGAGAGTTGAAGGCTTGGTCTTTCTCTATAGACACAGCCTAAAATTGCACCTGTCATTTCTGTTCACATCCCACTGACCAGGACCTGATCATCAAGACATTTAACATAAACTTCTTTACCTCAGAAAGCATTACTCTGCAGACTACTACTGTCAGCAGCATGTGCAGAAGGTGGGGCTCCAAGCTGCCACGGCTGCCCTAGCACACTGAGGAACTCTTTCAGCGATCTCCGTTCAAGCAATGTCAGATTCCTGACGTTGTAGTAGAAAAGAATTTCAGGAGGAGTCAGTAAGTGGGAGTTAATGAAGGAAAGGGTTTTAACACAGGTTTAAGCCACTGGTGTTGGATGGAAAAGGACAGTACATTCCTAACACACGGGTGTAAGCTTATCAAGAGAGTTGTGATTAAGTGTCTTAGCAATAGTCTTATACATGATGTTCATGGCTTCTGAAGTTGCACTGTTCAGTGTTTTTAAGAACCCCTCCCCCTTTTCTGTAAATGGATCATAGGTAGTTTCTGAGGAGACTGTATAGGATTTCAGTCTGATAAGATAAAATCATGAGCCATGGGTATCCTTACTATGCCGGGTCACAGGGAAATTAAGATGCATGTTTATAGACTATAAAGTTCATGGGCTTGTTTTTGAGATTCTCAGAAAAGTGCAGGTTTACAACTAGGAAACAAAGGTCATATGGACACAGGCCTTAAGTGTGGTTCACTGCTAGTCTAACATTCTTAACTGAAATATCTCTATATAAAAAGGAATATTTCCATGTAGGCAAACTTTACAGCATTTTTTTATTTGTGTGAAAATTCTCAACTGTCAGTTCATGTGAGACTTCAGTCAGACTCCGGGTGAAGTGCTCCTTTCCCTTTCTGTAACCCCCCTAATTCCTCCCATTTTTCTAACCTGCCTTACTACCCAGATGTTAATCCAGAAAAGCAGGAGAAAAGAGCTTTAGTTTACTCCATGATACATGCTAGGAGAAAACACCGAAGAAAGAATTTTCAAAATTCAGATTTCACAAACTCATTGTGATGGTTCGTCTTCTTGTCGAATCACCTAGGAAACCAGTGAGGCATGCCTCTGCCCATGTCTTTGAGGGTATTTCCAGAAAAGATGGAACAGAGCAGGTAAGATCCACCTAGAATGGATGGCCCCTCCCATGGACCTGGAGTTTCTCCTCTAGAGAAAGTCAGAGAGCACCCTTCCTTTCTCTCTGGCTCCTGGTCCTCCATGGGGACAGCTAGGTCAGATCTGCCATGCCTTCCCCACTATGATGAGCCCAAATAAATCCTTAAGTTGTTTAAATTTTTTATACTTTTTTTATGTATATGAGAGTATTGTCTGCATGTATGTAAGTGTACCTATGTCATGCATTGCCCATTGAGGTCAGAAGAGGGCATTGGATTCCCCTGGAACTGGAGTTTCAGACAGTTGTTAACTACCATGCAGGTGCTAGGAATCCAACCCACGTCCTCTGCAAGAATAGCCAATGCTCTTAACCACTGAGCCATTTCTCCAGCCTCTTTATTTTTATTTTATGTGTTTGATTGCATTGTCTGCATGTATATAAGTGCACCCATGTCATACATTACACGTGGAGGTCAGAAAAAGTCATTGGATCCCTGGAACTGGAGTTACAGACAGTTTTTAGCCCCATGTGGGTGCTGCGAACTGAACCTGGGTCCTCTGAAAGAGCGGCCAGTGCTCTTAACCACTGGGCCATCTCTCCAGCCCCACTTCCTTAAGTTGTTTGTGTCAGGCATTCTGTCACAGTGACAGATGTAACTAACAAACTCATGGTACAAAATGAACCCCACAACTTCCTCTAGAACGATGAACTTTACTGTCAACTGGCTGCCTGGGAAATTTTGATTGAAAGGACTCAAATGTTCTTTCACAATTAGTCATGTTGTTCTGACTGCTGTAGCTAGTCCTGTGACAGCTTCTCATTGTCTGGCTTTATAGGTGGCCTAGGCTACCAACAGCCCTAAGCCTGACTCACTTAGCTACTTCAGATCATGGCTTTCCTCGTGGAAAATACAGACCAAAAAAGAAAGCAATAATGAAGGGGCTGGAGCTCGGCTCAGTGGGAGAACACTTGCCTAGCATGCACGAGGCCCTGGATTTGATCATCTCCTCATGAAAAAGAAAAAAAAAGAAAAAAGGAAGGAAAGAAGGAAGGGAGGGAGAGAGGGAGAGAAAGAGAGAAAAAAGAGAAGCTATAACAGTAGCTCTGGTAAAACTTTATAAATAATCATTTTTCAAATGATTTCAATTAAGCCATAAGTAAAGAGCTTAACCTTATTTCCTTAGGAGAAGATCACCTGCCGGACAGATGTCACCAACCGGCTCCTGAGAATCTTGTACGTACTACAGTCACAAGATACATTTTGAGCGTCAGTCTTTCTCCTGCCTGCTAGATGCTGCCAGCATCTCCTCTGTCTCCTTGAGTGCTCCAAGCACAGATTTCTAGACAGGAAAGCACTGAAGCACAGGAAAGAAGTGGGTTAACTGGTACTTTTCTAAAGAAAATATTAGCGTCTATCTTTGGGCTTTTGTGTTTATTTGATGGCTGTCTATTTACCCTCTTATTCATTCCAAGAACTTCAGTGTCTTTTAGAAACTGATGCACTACAATAAAATATTAAAATCAAAAAGGGAGAGAAGTGAGTGAAAGGGAAGGAAAGGTACATTGACTGCAGAAATGTTTCACGCAATGTAGAAGAACAGAGATGAAGTAAAACTCCCTTCAGCCCGCCTTTCCTATGCCAGCTGCCCTTGAAATGCCACCAGAAGGGACAGCTACGGTCTTCTACTAGAGGACCCCTCGGCCTTGCCTGCGTTCCATCCCCTCCACTTGCCTCCGTCTTCTCCACTGTCACACTGGGTTCCAAGGCACTACACCAGCACTTCTGAGCTTGTCTCTCTGCTGCTCACTTTTCTTGCCCCTCTCTGTCCTCAGCACAGCAGAGGGATCCTGATTGCCTGGCACACGACACGACCTCACCCCAGTCTCTCCACCCACACTCCACCACCACCTCTTCTGGCCTCCCAGTTCTTCCTCAAACATACCCAGCAGGCTTTGAACCCTCAGAGGTCCATGGTAGAACCAACTCTCTCTTTACTCATCTCTTGGTGAATGGTCCCCATCTCACCTTTGAGCCCAGCTCTGAAACCCACCCTCCCTCCCAACTGCTTCTCAAGCTCTTTTCTTCCCAATACTTTTTTAGTACCTGATGTAATTTGTCTCATTCCATTCCCATGGAGACCCCAGGAGGCAGATTCTAGGCTCACTTTGTTCACTACTGTGCTCCCAGTTCTCCAGAACACAGCCTAGCACATAGTAGGTGTTTAACAATTTATTGAATGATTGACAATAAAACCTTGTCCATGATGTACTCTGTGGACCTTCCAGGGGAATAGAGTGTGCAGTTCTCTCAGAGGAGTTGGAGATAGGATACGTCAGCCCCTGAGGCTGTCCATGTCCTATGGGATGTGGGAGGCTCAGAGGCGAGAGAGACACTGCCCTCAGGAAACTTTATGTGGTAAGATCAGGTTCATCTTTTTCTTTATATATGTTTATCTTTTAGTCCAAGAACATGTGCTATCCCATCTCCCCAGTTTCTTCAGTATTTTCAAAAACCACACCACAGAAGACAGTCACCTCTGCACCCAGAGACCCACTACAGGTGACATCAGCCTCCTCTGCACCCAGACACTCACCACACGTGATATCAGACACCTCTGCACCCAGAAACGCACCACAGATGACATCAGTCACCTCTACAAACAGACACTCACCACAGGTAACATCAGTCACCTCTGCACCCAGAGACTTACCACAGGTGACATCAGTCACCTCTGTACCCAGAGACCCACCACAGGTGACATCAGTCACCTCTACACCTACACACTCACCACAGGCAACCTCAGTCACCTCTGCACCCAGAGACCCACCACAGGTGACATCAGTCACCTCTACACCTAGACAGTCACCACAGGCAACCTCAGTCACCTCTGCACCCACCGACCCACCACAGGTAACATCAGTTACCTCTACACACAGACACTCACCACAGGTGACATCAGTCACCTCTATGCCTAGACAGTCACCACAGGTGACAACAGTCACACCTGCACCCAGAGACCCACCACAGGTGACATCAGTCATCTCTGTACCCAGAGACCCACCACAGGTAACATCAGTCACCTCTGTACCCAGAGACCCACCACAGATGACATCAGTCACCTCTACACCTAGACACTCACCACAGGTGACATCACATACCTCTGCACCCAGATACTCACCACAGGTGACATCAGTCACCTCTGTACCCAGAGACCCACCACAGGTGACATCAGTCACCTCTGCACCCAGAGACCCACCACAGGTAACATCAGTCACCTCTGTACCCAGAGACCCACCACAGATGACATCAGTCACCTCTACACCTAGACACTCACCACAGGTGACATCACATACCTCTGCACCCAGATACTCACCACAGGTGACATCAGTCACCTCTGTACCCAGAGACCCACCACAGGTGACATCAGTCACCTCTATACCTACACACTCACCACAGGCAACCTCAGTCACCTCTGCACCCAGAGACCCACCACAGGTGACATCAGTCACCTCTGTACCCAGAGACCCGCCACAGGTGACATCAGTTACCTCTACACACAGACACTCACCACAGGTGACATCAGTCACCTCTGCACCCAGAGACCCACCACAGGTGACATCAGTCACCTCTGTACCCAGAGACCCGCCACAGGTGACATCAGTTACCTCTACACACAGACACTCACCACAGGTGACATCAGTCACCTCTGCACCCAGACACTCACCACAGGTGACATCAGTCACCTCTACACCTAGACAGTCACCACAGGTGACAACAGTCACACCTGCACCCAGAGACCCGCCACAGGTGACATTAGTCACCTCTACACCTAGACACTCACCACAGGCAACCTCAGTCACCTCTGTACCTAGAGACCCCCCACAGGTGACATCAGTCATCTCAGCACTCAGACACTCACCTCAGGTGACATCAGATACCTCTGCACCCAGAGACCAACCACAGGTGACATCAGTCACCTCTGCACCCAGAGACCTGCCACAGGTGACAGTCACCTCTGCACCCAGACACTCACCACAGGTAACAGTCCCACCTGTACATGGCAGCCCACCAGGGCCTTTGATGACAAGGCTCACCAGTCCTGTGTCTACATCCCCTGCTGGAAGATCTCTGGCAGATACCACTTGGAGCCCAAAGGAAGACTCTCACTCAGGAGGTGATACCACCCACCCACAAACATCATTTCAGAATGCATCCAGTCAGGTAAGTCTGGAAACAGGTTCAGCCACAGGAATGAAAAAATGTTGTAAGAGACCGGCATGTCCTTTCTATCGTGACATCTCAAGAGTCAGGATTTAAAAAGTCAGCCTGGTCACCCTTTCACCTCCTACCACAGCTGTGTGCTAAGAGCAAAAATGAAACAAGTCCAAAAAGAATAGCCCGCAGTCGGCTGTGTGCTCATCTCAGCACTGACGGCTTGTTTGGGGCTCCCAGATCTAATCCTCAGGTGGAGAGGAAGTTCTGCCACCTGCCCCACTGTACCAGAGATGGCAGCCAACTCTCACATTCCTAGAGAATACTGAGGGAGCCTGAAGAGAGTCCGCTCCTACTTTAAAAAACTCAGAGGCTGCTTATGTGCAGCTTATGTGTGACTCTTCCCTGTTAAGACAGCCTATCAGCCTTATCTGCTTTCTGGTTGGTGATGGAGGCTACAGGTTCACTACTGTCTCAACACCATTCCACTGGGGAAAGACTGACCAGCAGGAGCTTAAAGAATGGCATTCGGTTCCTTCCCTTAAAAGGAGTCAGAAGTGTGGAATATCCAAAAGTGTTTATGAATATATTAACACTATTAAGAGAACGGAGTGATGTTGTCAAGTCTTGGATCTGTGTGTCAAAATTAAATGTGTTTTTGCTGTTACAAATGAGAAAATTAGGGGCTGGAGAGATGGCTCAGTGGTTAAGAACACTGGTTGTTCTTGCAGAAGACCCAGGTTTGAATCCCAGCACGCACATGGCAGCTAACAACCGTCTGTAACTCTAGTCCCAGGAGATCCGACAGCCTCTTCTGACCTCCACGGGCATTGCATGATGGGTGCACTTACCTACATGCAGGCAATACACGCACACACGTAAAATAAAAATAATAAAATATTTTTTAAAAGGGTTAAAGTTTTTTTTTTTAAATGAGAAAATTAAATACAACCAAGTGTGCTTGCAGAAGCCTATAATTCTAGGACTTCGGAGGATGAGGCAGGAGGATTGCAAGTCTGAGATCAGTCTGGGTTGCATAAACATTGAGATGTGTCAAGATTCAGCCCAGATTACAACCTGGGTTCTAAAATACCAAATGTGGTTGTGTATCCACAGCTACCTGCTTGTATAAAGAGAATCCGGGAAGGCCTACCTCCACTGGCTAGATTTCACCCACATCTTCATGCCTACTTATTTGTACCTTGGTCCCCAAGTCCAAAATGGACTGATCCTCAGTCCAAGGTCACTCCACAAGTGATTCCCTCCCACAAAGTCGGGAATAACCAACCCTACTGAACCATGTGGAACATGAAGATGGGACTGTGACCCACGGCCTGCTGACTCCTATCTAGATGAGCACAGTAGGCCTTGGGTAAAGGTTTCTGGATGTGAGTGGGAAGCAGACTGTACCCCAGAACTAAACCAAGTACTCAGGTGTAAACAGAGCCTAAGTGGTTGGGTACAGAAGCTTGAAAGCTTGGGGTCTTGCTCCATCGACTCTGCGTTTGTTCAGGGAGGCATCCTGCCTCCTACCTCCTGCTACACAGTACTTTGAAATTCTTCCCTTTTTAAAAAAAATATTATTTTTATTTTATGTGTACGAGCATATTGCCTGCATGTATGTGAGTGCACCCCTGTCGTGCAATGCCACAGAGGTCAGAAGAGGGCTTCGAATTCCCCTGGAACTGGAGTTAAGGACGGTTCGTAGCCGCCATGTGGGTGCTGGGAATCGAACCCGGGTGCTCTGCCTGCAAGAGCAGTCAGTGCTCTTAACCGCTGAGCCATCTCTCCAGCCCCAAGTTCTTCCCTTTTGAACATGAATTTGAGCCTGGTGTGGTGGCCATGAACTTTTTTTCTTTCATTTTTTTTTTCCCTGTGCTGAAGATTGAACTCAGGGCCTTGCACCTACTGGGCAAGCTGTCTGTGAACTTACTCCTATAATTTTATCAGCAGCTTCATTTGCCTTTGGGTTACTCATTCTATAAACTTCATCTTCTCTCGTGTATGAAAGAGGTGAAATGAGTTCTGTCCACTCACAGGAAAGCTTCTGAAAATAACAGCCCTTCTGAAGCCTGTGGTTCATACAGCGTAAAATGTCATTCTTGCTCAGAGGTCATTAAAACAGTGGCCCAAACTATGAATGCATGATAATTCTATGTTTTTAATTTTTATCACATTTGTGTGTGTGTGTGTGTGTGTGTGTGTGTGTGTGTGTGTGTGTTGGGAAAGAGGTGCACATGTGTGGAGGTCAGAGGACAACCTTCAGGAGCTGATCTCTCCTTTAACCATATGTGTTCCAGGGATCGAACTCACGTCTGTCAGTCTTGGTGGCAGGTGCCTTTAACCCACTAAACCATCTCACCAGCCTGACAAAATCTTTTCTTGTCAATAGGTCATGAATGAGACAGTGGGGAAGTTGAGACCAACAGTTCCTGGTTTACAAGCTCATAGTGAGTTACAGAATGCTTGCAACATCCTCCAGAGACTGAAAGACTTCCTTCCCACATCACCTACACCAGCTCAGGTAAGCAGGTGGAGGGGCATGTAACAAGGCAGGAGGAAGGGAAGAGAGAAAACAGAACAGGATCTGGAGACTGTGCCCTTTGTGGAACTAAGCATTATAAAAGTATTTGGTGTAGACAGAATTAAGTATCAGCAAATAGATTTGTATCTAAGTCTGAAAATTGTTAGTAAATTGGTAAGTAATGGTGTCCTCAGAGAGGCTGTTCTTTGGCTCACTGATCAGGTTACAGTTTCTATACATTTGTTAGGAGAAATCATGAGACAAAAATAGATCCACAGTTTGCCATAGATACAGTGGGAGAGACTGGAGCAAGTACCAAAATCAGAATGCTCCTCACCTTGCAGTTTGCTGCAACCACAACTTGTCGACATCACTTCCTCGTAACTGTTTCTACCTCTTACTTCTTACATACAAATAAAGGTGGTAGAATTGGTTGGAAATTTAATTTTCTTTTTTCTGTTTTTTTTTTCTTTTTTACATTTTCAAACGCACTGCAATAACCATATACATGTGCTCTGTCTGGGGTTTTGTTGTTGTTTTGTTTTTTGTTTTTCTTCTTGACACAGGGTCTCATGTATCCCAAGCTGGTCTCAAACTTTGTATATAGTTGGCTCAACAGTTAAGAGCACTGACTTCTCGTAGAGGACCCATGTTAAATTCCCAGCACCCACATGGTAGCTAACTGTAACTCCCGTTCCAGGGGAATCCAATGCACTCTTCTGACCTTCAAGGTCATTGCACGACACAGATACACTTACATACATGCAAGGCAGTACACTCATACACATAAAAATAATAAAATATTTGGACTGGAAAGATGGCTCAACAGTGAAGAGCACTGACTGCTCTTGCAGAAGACCCAGGTTCGAATCCCAGCACCCATGTAGCAGCTAACAACTGTCCATAACTCCAGTTCCAGGGGATGCAACATCATCTTCTGACCTCCATGGGCACTGCACAACACAAGTGCACTTACATACATGCAGCCAATACACTCATTTACACAAAATATAATTTTAAAAATGATAAAAACACCGGGTGTGGTGTGGCACACACTTTTAATTCCAGCACTTGGGAGGCAGAGGCTGGCAAATCTATGAGTTCGAGGCCAGCCTGGTCTACATAGTGAGTTCCAGGCCAGCTAGGGCTACAGGGAGACCCTGTTTCAAAAAGACTATAAAAAATTATTTTAAAAACTTCGTATGTAGCCAAGGATGACCTTGAACTCCTGATCCTCTTGCCCCCACCACCCGAGTTCTGAGATACTAGGCAGGTGCCATCATACCCAGCCTACATGCTGCTGTGGATCAAGTCCAGAGTTTCATCTGTGCTAGAAAGCACTCTACCTACTGAGTCATGCTGCCAATCTGTTTGGGGTTTTAGCTACAGAAATAGTGGGTTCCTACTAAAATGGAAGCAGAGCACAGGCAGCAATGAGAGAACACCCTCTCCTCTGCCTCCCCTCCCCTTCTCTAGACATGGTTAATGAACAGCAAGTTAGCTCTCAGAGCAGTAACCAGCTAGAACTTGTTATGAAGACCAGGCTAGCCTTGATCTCCCAGAAATCCACCTGCTTCTGCCTCCAGAGTACTAGGATTAAAGGCATGTACCACCACACCTGGCACTCCTAGACTGTTTTCTAAGCTCACAAACTTTCTTATGAGTTCAAGGTATACAAATGTTTTGACACCTTTGATTTGTTTTTCTTTTATACGTTGCCAAGGGTATTTTTCCATATCTGTCTGCATCAATTAACTCACTGTGGTGATCTGAATCTTTGGTTTGCTCTTGAAAGCAGCCCGCCTATGAACAGCCATGTAACCCCCACATCCCTTCCAATACTTAGGTAAATAATTCCGAGCTGTTGGAGCACCGGGTAGAGGTGGTGATTGGCTTTAGACTTTCCACAAATATGACCCAATTGTTCCTAAAAGGAACTGTTTTCATTTCCTCTATGGCCTCACATTCTCATTGTGTCTACTTTAATAGTAAGAAAGGGTGATAAGACAGTGTTGATTACTAAGGGTGAGCATTGCGTTATGTGTTTGTGCATTTATAGCTGTACTCACGATTCCTCTTCTGTTGACTGTTTTCTGGTCTTTGGCCTAAGCATGTATTCTGTTGCTGAGCTGCACCTTCTTCTCCTTCATTTCTTCTCTGAATTGCTTCACATCCTTTATCCATCCTGCTCACTCGTCTGCTTGTATGTGATCTTGTTTGGAAGAGGCTTTTATTATTGAGGTTAACTTCTGTTATCTATATTACAAATATTGTGCCAGTATCCTATTTTTTTTTTGGTCTTTTTAAGACAGGGTCTCCCTGTAGCCCCAGCTGTCTTGGAACTCACTATGTAGACCAGGCTGGCCTTGAACTCACAGAGATCCGCCTGCCTCTGCCTCCCAAGTTCTAGGATAGTTTCTTTACATCTTTTATTTTGCAAAAGTTTTTAATGTAACTTTGAAAGAAAATAACATGTCAAAAGAAAAATAGCAGCACCTGCAGTGGTTATCCAGCAACTACCCGTCCACTTGCTTACCCTTTCTGGTTGGTTGGTTGAATGGTTGGTTAGTTCGAGACAAGGTATCACTGTATAGCCCTGGTTGGCCTGGAACTCACTATATAGCCCAAGATGGCCTTGAACATGCCACAATACTCCTACCTCTGTTTCCCAAGTCCTGAGTTTACAGACATGAACCACAGTGTGCTGTGGTTAACCTTTTATCTTAAGCCTTTAAATTTTTATTTAATTTTTTTGTTTTTTTAAAATAACTTATTGAGCATTTCATACATGCATATAGGGTGTTTTGATCAAATCCATGCCCACTCCTTCCCTTCCAATTCCTCCCATATCTCCCATCACTTTTTTCTGATAACTTCATGTACTCTTTCTTCTTTTATTATTATTTTTTATGGGCTTTTGGGACTCTAACATTCCCCCTCTGAAGAGGTAACCCCAAAATCTTTTAAGGATTAGATAAAAGCCCCCAAATACTTTCAACATTTTTGGCCTTTGGAATGGAGTATGTTGCTAAGACGCCCAGGGACATTTGAGTTTTAGCCAAGAAACTGGCTACTTTTCTTTGGGGTCTTTTTATGGGGAATACGGACACAGGTTGCTCTGTTTTCTTCCATGCTGAACAGGGATGCAGGGTGAGGCAATTGAAGTACCCCTTCAGTGGGTCTATCTAAAAGACTCCCAAATTGCATAACTTTTATCTGTAGGGGGAAAAGAAAGTCCACCATGTGGAGGTAAGATCCAGGTGCTCTCAGGCAGTCTCCTGTGTTCTCATCCCTTATGCCAGCAGGAGGCCAGAACCCGGCACTCTCTGGCAGTCTGCTGAGATCACAGCTGCTACACTGATGGCGGTTGGAGCCCACCCTCTCAGCCTGTCTCTTTCTTTAATTTTTAAAATTTATTATTTTTATGTTATGTGTATTAGTGTATTGGCTACATGTATTTAAGTGTACCTGTGTCATGCAATGCCCACTGAGGTCAGAAGAGAGCATCAGATTCCCATGGACCTGGAGTTATGGATGGTTATTAGCTGCCATGTGGGTGCTGGAAATTGAACCTGGGTCCTCTGTGAGAGCAGCCAGTGCTCGTAACCACTGAGCCATGTCGCCAGCCTTTTTTTTTTTAACTTGTTTTTTATTATTTTATGTGTATGTCCGTGTGTATGTAAGTGCACTTGTGTTGTGCAATGCCCACAGAGGACAGAAGAGGCTGTTGGATCCCCTGAAACAAGTTACAGACAGTAATTAGATGCCGTGTGTGCTGGGATTTGAACCCGGCTCTTCTGCAAGAACAACCAGTGTCCTTAACCACTGAGCCATCTCTCTAGCCTTTCTTGCTTGTTTTACATGAGAACAACTCACATAAAAGAGAATTGGTGTTTTCTATTTTGTTTAAAACTTCTCCCTGGAGTCTGTTTTCTATGTGTCTTATAGGCTTCTGGACTGGACACACACGCACACGCACACGCGCACACACACACAGGCCAACTACCCAGCATTCAGACCAGCATTGCTCTTTTCCTCAGCATCCCTCTTTTAGCTTGATTTTGTTCGTTTAAATATCTGGTCTACTTACCACAAAATTCCTTAGAATAACCTGAAATACAAATCCTCTTCCAGAGGTAGTATGAAATTATGCATTTTCCTTGCATGCCAAATGGTAATATTGCTTTTTATAAAAATGCATTTGGAGGGCCAGAATTAGCTCAGTGATTAAGAGCACATACTGCTCTTCCAGAGGACAAGTTCAATTCCTAGCACCCATGTCAGGTAGCTCACAACTAACTGCTGTAACACCAGCTCCAAAGGATCAGATGCTTCTAGCATACACGGGCACCTACACACACATACATACCCACACACAGACACATACAGATACACATAACTAAAAACAATGCATTTGAACTGTATGAAGAATATTGAGCTGTGGGGTGGGACTATAGCATCATTGGAGAAGTATCTGTGTATAAGCACAAGGACCTGAGTACAGATCCCCAGAACCCATATAAAAAGCCAGATGTGGTGGTACAGGACTAAAAGCCCAGTGCTAGAGAGGGAGAGACAGATCCCTGGAGCTTGTTGTCCAGCTAGTCTAGCAATATGGTGAGCTCCAGGTTCAGTGAGAGACTCTGTCTCAAAAAATGCAGTGGAGAGCGATTGAAGACACCTGACATCAACCTCTGGCCTCCACATGTACATGCACACCTCTATACATTCTCATTCTCTCTCTCTCTCTCTCTCTCTCTCTCTCTCTCTCTCTCTCTCTCTCACACACACACACACACACACACACACACACATCTCTCTCTCTCTCTCTCTCTCTCTCAGCTGCTTATAAAAAGACACAAATTTAAAACAGCCGCAAGCAGTTAAGTGTGTTTCCTTTCTGGCATCCCTAGGTCAGTGTAGTCGATTTACTCATTGACCTGAGTGAGCAGTTGCTGAACATCACATTTCAGAAAAACAAAAGCTGGAGCTTCAAAACTCCTTCAACTACCTGCTTCTTTCAGCCTGTTGAAGGTACAGTGAAAAGTGGAAAAGAAAGTCAGCAGACCTCTCTGAAAAACACTGAGCAGGTAGGTGTGGTCCATGCAGATGGCCAGCTCTGTCCAGAAACTTCCACCTTAACACACTTTCCTTGGCATGCAAGGAAAATGCATAATTTCATACTACCCCTTAACACAGCCTCTCCTTCAAAGGATTTTGGAAAAGCCACAGCTAAGTCTTCTCTGGTCTTTCTCCATCCCACCAGGGGGAAGACTACTGAGTACCCACTCACTAGGCAAGTGGAAAGACTTAGCACAGCACATAGGGAAACCCTGAATAAGATCTTTAAAACTATTAGCTATTAAGGAAATGAAAATGAAATCTAAAGTGAAGCTGGGTATGGTGGTACATACCTCCCAGTACTTGGGAAGCTGAGGAAGGCAGAAGGCAGGTTCAAGGTCAGCCTGGGTTACATAGTAAGACCTTGTCAGAAGGGAGGTAAGGAAGGGGAGAAAGGGAAAGAGGAGGAGGAAAGAGAAGGACAAAGAAAAGGGAGAAGGGAATGAAAGAGGAAAATATAAGCCATCTCACTCTAAAAATTATCAATAAGCCAGGTGTGGTGGGGTTCTGTGATTCCAACACTCAAAAGGCAGACACAGCAGAATCTGGAGGTCAACGTTATTCCTTGGTGTCATAGTGAGTTTGAGACCAGCCTGGGCTACTAAGGCTCTTTCTTAAAACAACAAAATCAAATTGACAATAGTATTAGCAAGGATGCAGAGAAACTGTAGCGGTTACAAATTGTTACATTGAACAATCATGTGCAGTTCCTCAAAACATTAGAGTTGCCATTAGAGTCCTGGCAACTCTGCTCATTGGTGTGAAGTTCACAAGAATTTAAAACAGAGGTCCAGGCCCCCGGCCCCAGCCTGCTCCACGTGGGCGATGGCAACCAGGAAGGTGGCCCCCAGCTGGAGACGGAGATGGAGCACTGCCAGTCCGAGTGCCAGCAGGAGCAGACCCCTGAGATCTTCAAGCATCTGTTGACCAAACTCATCGCCAATGAGATGACATGTTTGAACTTCTCCTCAGGGAGTCAAAGCTAGAGCAGCACTTGAAGGGGAAGCCCCTGAAGCAGGTAGCTAGTTCCCAAGGCCCCAACTGACCAAAGTGTGCAAGCATTTGACTGCTGCCCTGGACCAGGGAACCTCAAATCAGAATTCCTACAGGAATCCAATCTGATCACGGCCGAGTTGAAGCTGCGGTTGAATGCGGAAGCCTATACTACCAAAGATGGACGGTCATCAGAGGAGAGTCTTGAAGGGGACTGTGCCCCTGTGCATTTATAACATGGTTCCTCAAAAATCTCACAGGTCGACAACCATTTGGATAACAATGGCCTCAATGGCAGTTGCTGCTGCTGTTGGAACAACTTGAGTGACTCAAAGGCCTTCATGAGCTTCTCCAGCGTGGACATGGTGGCTCCCGCCCAGCAGGCCCAACCCTGAGGGTCTGGAGCTCATGCATGGCACTGCTCGGCAGCTGAGAAATGAGTGTGGGGATCTGCTTGGCCAGCAGGAGCAGAGCCCAGGTGCCTGGCCATCTTGGGCCTATTCCCTCTATCCTGAGGATTGTCTGGGGGATTTTAGCAGAGGGGCAAAATTTAAGCCAGTCAAGTGAAGTAGCTTTGTTCCAGGGGATCCATTGCCCTCTTCTGACTCCCGTGGGCACTGCAGGACATGAGTGTACTTATGTACATTCAGAGAAAAACTCTGTTTGAGAGCCTGAGAACTTAAGAGAACTAGAGCTGTGGTCACCTCCTGTGAGCATGAGTCATGGTCCCACCCCAAGAGCTGGAGCTGTGGTTCCCCTCCCGTGAGCTGGAATCCTCTCCTGTGAGCTGGAGTTGTGTTTCTCCTCCAGTAGGCTGGAGCTGTGGTTCCCCTCCTGTGAGATGTAACTGTGGTACCCTCATAATAATATTGATCCCCAGTCCCAAGAGGGATGATGAGAATGGACTATGCTGGATCAGGTGCTCACCCACAGTTGAAGATTAATGCATCTTTCAACTCTCACTAGAGAAGTTTCCTTATGCAGCAGATGGTGATCAACATAGAAACTTACGGCTTTCTAATGTGTAGGGACGAGGGGGCTGCAGAGTGCTTATCTCTGAGTGGAACGCTTCTGTCAGGCTTCTGGAGCACAGGGCCTGGGGTTTATGGCTGAGGAGGAAGTAGAAAGATTGTAAGAGCCAGAGGTGGTGGATGGCCAGGGAGGGGAGGGCGGAGTTCTCCAGACGGCTGGTCGGTTACTCATGTGAGCTCACAGCAATGATGACAGCATGCACAAGTGCTATGCAATCTCCAGTGGATGGACCGACACTGGAGATCATATGGGGATTCAAGATAGACTGGCTATATTATACAGAGAGAGTACATTGAAATGAATGGGGGCGGGTAATGTGGGGAGGTATGGATGAGAGAGGGGATATAAATGTCATCAAATTATATGGAAATCACAAAAATGCAATAAAAATGCTAAAAAAAAATAAAGGTCCAGCCAGGCGTGGTGGCACATGCCTTTAGTCCCAGCACTTGGGAGACAGAGACAGGTGGATCTCTGTGAATTCAAGGCCAGCCTGGTCTACATAGTGAGTTCCAGGCCAGCTGGGGCTACAGGGAGACACTGTCTCACAAAGACCAAGAAAAAAAAAACCAAACACAGATCCATAGAGAGGTGTGTGCCCATGTTCAGAGCAGTGTTATTGAAATGGAAAAGAGCCTGAAGTGGAAACAACCCAACTGCACGTGATCTGAAGAGCTGATGTATTAGTCAGGGCTCTCCAAAGAAACAGAACCGGTAGAATGAATATATATGTATAGAGATTTATCAGCTTAGCTCACAGGATAGAGTCCGAGTAGTCCAACAATGGCTGCACCACACTGGAGAGGCTGAGAATCTGTAGTCGCTCAGTCCACAAGGCTGGATGTCTCAGTAGTCCTAATCTGGCGCTGAAGGTCTGACAAATTCCAAAAGATCGGCTAGTCTTCAGTCTACAGCAGCAAGAGGAACTCACCAGAGAGAAGGCAAGCAGCAAGAAGCATGGCGTTCTCCTCTGCCATGGCCTTTTATACCGGCTGCCATCAGAAGGTAACACCCACATTTAGGGTGTGTCTTCCAGCTTCAGATGATCCAATGAAGATCTCATTTCATTTAATCCCAGATCCAGTCAAATTGACACCCAGGATTAGCCATCACAGCTGATAAAGAGAGTGGCATGCCACATAACGAACGCAAAAGGGGGATGAGGTTCTGATCCATGTTACAGCACAGATGAACCCTGTAAGCATTACATCACATGAAAGACCATCTATTGTTCACCACATGCAATATCCAAGGACAGATCTATAGGCATAGACAGCAAACCATTGGTGGCCTATGTGGGTGAGGGAGTGGAGAGAGACTGCTAGTGGATACCAGGATTTGTTTAGGGGGATAAATTCAAAGTCGAGTGGTGGTAATGACTACACAGATAGCACTGAGTGCAAAGTTACATATTCTTCTAAAAAATATTTTGTTATTTTTATGTATATGAGAGTATTGCCTGCATGTCAAAAGAGGACATTGGCTCTCCTGGAACTGGAGTTACAGATGGCTGTTAGCCACCATGTGGGTGCTAGAAATCAAACTTGGGTCCTCTGCAAGAGCAGCCAGTACTCTTAACCACTCAGCCATCTCTCCAGTCCAAAGTTATATATTCTGAAGTGGGTGAATTCTAGAGTAAATGGGAATTTCATCCCAGTAAAGCTGCTTTTAAGAATATCTATCATTGGGGCTGGAGAGATGGCTCAGCAGTTGAGAGCACTGGCTATTCTTGCAGAGGACCCGGGTTCAATTCCCAGCACCCACATAGCAGCTAACAACTGTCCAGAACTTCAGTTCCAGGGGATTCGATGGCCTCTTCTGTCCTCTGCGGGCATTGCACAACACGGGTGCACTTACCTGCATACAGGCAGTACACACATACACATAAAGTAAAAAATAATAAATAAAATTTAAAAATATATATCTATCATAAATTTGCCCTGTTTTGACTTTTTTCTGGTTCCCTGTCTAGAGCTTGTATTGCTAACTACTCTTGCCTTTACTTCTTCACATCTCCTAGGCACCAGTCAAGAACTTTCTTTTCTCCCTACAGTTAAGAGTTATACAATTTGGGAGTCTTTTAGATAGACCCACTGAAGGGGTACCCCAATTGCCTCACCCTGTGTCCCTGTTTAGCATGGAAGAAGCCAGAACAGTCTGTGTCCCAATTCCCCATCAGCAATTTGGGTAACCTCTTCAGAGGATGGTGTGAGAAGAATAGGAAGTAGGAATTGACTAGGCAGTTAGGGTGAAAAAGATCCCAGGGACTGGAGAGATGGCTCAGTGGTTGAGAACACTGACTGTTCTTGCAGAAGACCTGAGTTCAAATCCAAGAACCCACATGGCAGCTAACAACTGTCCGTAACTCCAGTTCCAGGGGATCTAAAGGCCTCTTCTGTCCTCTGCGGGCATTGCATGACATGGATGCACTTACCTACACACAGGCAATACATACATACACATAAAATAAAAATAATAAATAAAATATTTTTTAAAAAGACCCCAAAGTAGCCAGTTTCTTGGCTAAAAATTAAAATTTCCTTGGGCCTCTTAGCAACATACTTTGTTCCTAAGGCCAAAAATGTTAAAAGTATTTGGGAGTTCTTATCTAATCCCTAAAAGATTTTAGGGTTACCTCTCCAGAGGAGGGACTGTTAGAGTAGCAAAAAGCCCCATAAAAAAAGTACATGAAGTTGTTCAGGAAAAAGTGATGGGCAGGTATGGGAGAAGTTGGAGGGGGGGAGTGGGCATGGATTTGATCAAAACACCTTATATGTGCTGGGCATGGTGGCGCACACCTTTAATCCCAGCACTCAGGAGGCATAGGCCGGCGGATCTCTGTGAGTTCAAGGCCAGCCTGGTCCACATAGTGAGTTCCAGGACAGCTGGGGCTACAGGGAGACCCTGTCTCAAAAAGACCAAAAAAAAAATTATCTATCATGGGGGCTGGAGAGATGGCTCAGTGGTTAAGAGCACTGGCTGTTCTTGCAAAAGACCTGGGTTTGAATCCCAGCACCCACATGGCTGCCAACATCTGTTGGTAACTCCAGTTCCTGAGATCTGATGCCCTATTCTGTCCTCCGCGGGTACTGCATAGCATGGGTGCCCTTATACATTCTCAGGCATAACTTTCATACACATAAAATAAAAATAAATTTAAAAAAAATTTTTTAGTCTCTTTTTTGAGATAGGGTCTCCTTGTTGCCCCAGCTGACCTGGAACTCGCTATGTAGACCAGGCTGGCCTCAGAAAATCTAGCATGGACTGGAGAGATGACTCAGTGACTAACAACCATCCATACCTCTAGTTCCAGGGGATCCGATGTCCCCTTTTGGCTTCTGAGGGCATTGCATGACATGGGTACACTTACATACATGTAGCCAATACAGTCATACACATAAAAATAAATTTTAAAGTGCTTGGAAAGAACTGCACCTTACAGTGAACCTTTTGCAAGACTTATTAACTAATTAGAACTTAGATTGCGGAGAGTTTGGAATGTTGTGAGAATCTTAGGCCATCTTTAACCCCCTCAATAGCCAATTATTGCCCTTCTCTGTATGCGATCTAACATCTCTGTGACTATTAGGTCAGTCCCTCAGAAGATACGTTCATCTAGCTCCCACCAACCAAAAGGCTAAGAAGCCATCAAATAACATCTGAGGCCTACAGCAAAGACTCCCCACTTTCTTAACCCACCTACCCAATGTTTCCACCAGTGTATTTGGAATGCACCTTAACTTTTGTTACTATACAAACTTTTTTTTTGGTCTTTTTGAGACAGGGTCTCCCTGTAGTCCCAGCTGTCCTGGAACTCACTATGTAGACCAGGCTGACCTTGAACTCACAGAGATCCTCCTGACTCTGCCTCCTGAGTGCTGGGATTAAAGGTGTGTACCACCACGCCTGGCTACTATACAAACTTTATCAAGCCCTGACTGCACTGGAACACAAGGGAACTAGGTTACTCATATTTGGCTCCAGAATAAACTCTCTTATTGCTTTTAAGGTAAAAGCTGTTTCTTTCATCAACATGAGACAAATATTTCTTTGGCTGACTAGCCCTCTTAGTGCAAGGAATGATGAGTCTTTAGCCAGAGACTCAGCACTTTCTAGGAGGTTCCAAAGTTTGTCCATGAAATGTCCCCTTTTGTTACACCACTCTCAAATTCCCCTCCTAACCCTCTCAGAACCATTTCACTAATACAACACCCACGTAACGTGGGATCTCCCTCTCAATGCAGGTTGAAGACATGCTGGAGATGTTCTTGATAGCCCTGGGGGAGATCCAGAAAGCATTTTTCCAGCAGAGCCTGTCTCCAGAGTCTTCAGTGACTTTGACCTCTTCCATAGCTACTCTAATGTTGAGCAGGTTAATGGGCAGGGGGTTCCTTTTTGGTTTTCCACCTTTACAGAGGATGTACAAAAATTGATTTTCCTTTTTAAACTTCTCTTTCATCAGCCAAAACACATCAACATTGCCTCTGAGTACATACACTCTGGGTGGCCCTGCACCATTGAGGTTAAGATTTCCATCAGCTGCAGCTCTGAAGGAGCTGCTGGATAAACACCCAGGAATGAACCTGCAGGTGAGGAATGAAAATGGGATGTGATGACTGCATGGGAATGTAAGGGGAAAGAACATGCCACAAGATGTAAGCTGCAGCACACACAACCAGAAGAAAGAGGACCATAGGCCATTAACTTCTCACACTGAAAGGGAAAGGAACTGGGGAGATGGCTCAGTGGGTAAGAGCACTTTCTCTACAAGCACAAGGACCTGAGTTCACATTACCAGCACCCATGTGAAAATCCAGGTATGGCTGTGTGTGCCTGTAACCTTAGCACTGGAGACAGAAATGTGGATCCTCAGAGTTCACTGGCCAGCCAACCCAGCCAAAACAGTAAGCTTCCACCTCAGTAAGATCCAGGGCAATATGACAGAAAGTGACAGAGGAAGATATCCAATGTCCTGCTCTGGCCGCCTCGTGTCCACTCATGGGCATGAGCACATGTACCCATATACTCACCTGCATGTACCACACACAAAAGAATTTTAAAAACTTATCTAGTATATTTCTAGGTTTGGTGGCTCACATATTATCCCCGTGCTTGTGAGGCAGAGGCAGGAGAATTGCCATGAGTTCAAGGTCAGACTGGGCCACATAGTGAGACCTTGTCTTTAAAAAATAATAGGGGCTGGAGAGATGGCTCAGCAGTTAAGAACACTGGTGGTTCTTGTAGAAGACCCGGGTTCAAATCCCAGCACCCACATGGCAGCTAACAACTTCTATAACTCCAGTTCCAGGGGATTTGATGGCCTCTTCTTTCCTCTGCAGGCATTGCACGACATAGGTGCACTTACCTACATGCAGGCAATACACTCATACACATAAAATAAAAATAATAAAATAATAATCCAGATGTGGTGGTACATACCTTTAGCCCCAGCACTCAGGAAGCAGAGACAGGCAGATCTCTATGAATCTGAAGTCAGCCTGGTCTTCACAGCAAGTTCCAGGCCACCCAGGGCTACATAATGAGACCCTCCAGTAGGGAGGTTGGGAGCATTAAAGAGATGCATAGATTTTACCAGATTTCTGTCTTATGATTTGAATTGATCTCAGCTTCACCACTGACCCTGAATGGGAATATCTGAGTATTCAGTATATACTGGGAATATATACTGAACTAGTATAACAACCTGGTCTTATCATGTTGCATTTCTTTCTGTGGTTACCTAACAAACACAAATAGTCCTGTTGGTTTCTCCTGGAGAGCAGAATCCTTGCTGCTTAGTACAAGACAGTCCTTCAGGTATAAATACGTGGAAATGATTTTGAGGTCCTAAATGCAGGTCTGTCTTTCATGGTTTCTTATCAGTGTTAGCGTGTGAACCATCCCTTCAGTGAGATGATACTGGGGAATCCCCACATTTAAGTTATAGCTGATGTTGGGGGGGCTCATTTATAAATATTTCAGTATTTGGGAGTAGACTTGGCTTTCTCTGCAGATAATGGGCCTGGCTTTCAACCCCTTTGAGATGCTGGATGGCAGGAACACTGTTGGAGTCATTGGGAATGTGTTACTAAGCTCTAACTACAGATCACTCCAAGTCCACGATTTAATGGAGGATATTGAGGTATGAGTTTCTTCTTAGGCATGAAAGAGACTGAAACATGCTGGAGAACAAAACGGAAAGATGTAACAACCTAGAGAGCTGTTTAGATCCATGTCAAATCCAGGCATGGTGGCACTTAGTCCCAGCACTCAGGAGGCTGAAGCAGGGGGATCTCAGTTTGAGACCAGCCTGGTCTACATAGTGAGTTATAGGCCAGTAAGGAATTATGAATAATGAGACCCTGTCTCCAAAAAAAAAAAAGTAGATTCATGTCAGGGCCATTGTTTTGTTACATATCCCAGGAACCTTCCCAAAGAAGACAGAAAGGCATCAGTGGGCTGGGCCATCTTAACGTGGAGGATTAACTGTCTCCCTTTCTAGATAATGTTCTGGAGAAATGCCAGCATGGAAACTCACCCCACCAGCCTCAACGCCAGCACAGACCGTTTCACAATCACAGTAAACATCACTTCCTTGGAGAAATCCCTCATTGTGACCATTGAGCCAGAAAAGCCCCTTCTAATGACACTCTACCTGGGCTTCCAGGACCAGCCTGACCACGCTCACTTCCACCTGGACATCACCCTTCCAAGAGGCCAGGTGTGGCAGAAAGGTAATCTTAATCAAATTTCTGAAAATTTGAAATATTTTTTTTATAATTTCTTTTTTTAAACTTGTGATTGTGAGGTAATTGTAAGCTCACATACAACTACAAGAAAAACCAGCACTCAGGTTTTCCACCAGAGTCCTGGCGGGCGGGGGGCGGGGGCGATCCCTGAAGCTCATTGGCCAGTTTCCCCTAGGGGTGACTGTCCTAAGTTACTATTACTGTGACAAAACACTGACCAAAACCGACTTGGGAAGGAGGATATGTATTTCATCTTACATCTCTCGGGTCACAGTCCATCACTGAGGGAAGTCAGGCAGGGACTAAGCAGGGCAGGAACCTGGAGACAGGAACTGAAGCAGAGACTGTGGAGGAAAGCTGCTTCCTGGCTTGCTCCCCCTGGCTTGCTTGGCTACTTTTCTTATACAGTCCAGGCCCATCTGCCCAAGGATGGCACTACCCACAGTGGGCTGGACCCTCCTATATCAACCAGCGATCAAGACAGTGCCTCACAGACAGGCAATCTGATGGAGGAAATGCCTCAGCTGAGGTTCCCTCTTCCCAGGATTGACAACTGAAGCTATTCAGGACAGTGACATCCTGCCCACCTTTGTTCCAAGTTTACAACACGGTGTGCTTTCATCAGATGGCCCCAGGGTTCTAAGCATTCACCCACTTCTTTCCATACATGCACTTGGTTTTCTGTAATTTTGCCACGTGTGTATATACCTGTGGCCATGAAACACATTTTGGGGAAAAAGATGGATTATCTGATGCATAGGAGGATACACCCATGCCTGGAGCCACTGTGTCTCCATGTCTCCATCCTTCCTTTATCCTTGAGTTTCTCTCATTACCTGGATCTCCGATCTACTACCTAAGATACATGATGATTTTGTTTTCTTTCCATGTGTATGTACTGTGCTTGTGCTCACATGTGTGGGTTCATGTGTGTGCACAAGTGTGTGGAGGCCTGAGACTGATGTCTGGAATCATCCTTGATTGCTCTTCTACCTTATTCTTTGAGGACAGGGTCTCTTAGTCAAACCCACAGCTCATCAATGAGACAAATCTTGCTAGGCAGCTTGCTTTGGGGATCGCCTGTCTCTGCCTTCCAAGGCTGGAATTACAGTTGGGCTGCCACGCCCACTCTGGATTTATTGAAACTTCAGTCTTCAGTCTTCTTGCTTTAACTGCTGATCTATCTTCCCAGCTTGTTTTTTGTTACTTGTTTGTTTTATGGTTTTGTTTGGGGTTTTTATTGTTTTGTTTTTGAGACAGGGTCTCATATAGCCCAAGCTGTCCTTGAACATCTGATTCTTCTGTCTCCGTTTCTCAGTGCCAGGTTTATGTGGTGCTGGGAATGGAACCCAGGGCTCCAAGTATGCTAGGCAAGCAGTCTGTTCACCCAACTACAGCCCTGGCACATGTGTGATGATTTCATTTTTCTAAAACGCATAGTGCATTCCATTTCATTAGACCTAAATGTTCCTTTATCAAAAGAATGTGGTTCTTTTCCTGGAACAGGCGTGATGCAGAGTTCAGGACTGTGTCCCTGGTCATTTTCCTCCCACTTCTGGTGCTAGGCTTTTTTTTTTTTTCTCAGCTGTAAAATAATAATGAGTACTAGTACTACTCATATTACTGGATCCTTGGAGAGAAAGGCTCCAGTGGTGTTCTAGAAATACAACCCAGCATTTTTCTTTGTCCTAAGATGAGGAGTACACATGGTTGCTGTCTCCAGAGAGCCTGCAGTATGGGACTGGTACCTACAACATAACAGCCGTGGTGAATCAAAGTTCAGAGACCACACTGCAGACTCCTTTCCTGGTCTCCGTGGTAACAGCTGTCACCCAGTGTTATTTTTGGGACACATACAACAGGACATGGAGGAGTGATGGATGCCAAGTAAGAAGCAGGACCTCTTCTACCTTGTCTGTGCCCCTTCCCTTCCATAGGGCCAGAAACAACAGCGATCAGAAGGGACACAAATCAGCCTGGAAGAAAGAGGAGGCTAACACATGGTAGACAGGGCAGGAGTGCCTCCCTGGAGCCACTGCAGGTTCCTGCTGTGTCTTTGCAAGTCCTATCTCAACACAGATGGACAAATCTGGCACCCCTAGGCACTGAGCTACATCTGATAGTTAACAGATGAAATACAGAAAGCGCATGGAAGCTACAGAATCCTACACATCCTAATATGCTGTGTCTAAAATGAATCAAATTTTTCTAGTTAAGAATATATTGTAGAGAGCTGGCTGTGGTGGTACATGCCTTTAATTCCAGCACTTGGGAGGCAGTAGCAGGCAGATCTCTGTGAGTTCAAGGCCAGCCTGGTCTACATAGTGAGTTCCAGGATAGCTGGGGCTACAGGGAGACCCTGTTT